GTTTTCCCATGCCTAGTATATAACACTCCAACCTCGCTGATTTCAGCTATCTTGCAAAACATGTGCTTGAGAGTAAACCCCACTAAATTCCATGTGGGTTACTTTTCACTTCTCAAGTAGACACAAATAGGCCTTCTCTGTTCATTTACTCGCTCGACAGACTACTACATTGCCATAGCAGCAAGAAAAGTGCCATGTTTCGACACAAATACACACAGCCGAAACAGCCTTCCTCAATCTGTTGCTTCTTCCCACATGTACCACACTACCACTCCTATCATTCCAGCCACTGGGGATGACAGAAATTGTAGTCTAGCATGCTGGCAGAGCAAGGGATAGGAAAGGCTGGTATCAACATATGACAGTATCTGTTGGGTTTTGGCTACGAGACCCCCATGGACACCAATATCCGGGGATGTTTATGTTCTGTTATATACAATAGCATAGTAAAATGATGGCTCTCATATAAAATGGCAAAATCGAGTTTTGGTTTTTGGAATAATGATTATTATACTATTATCTATATAAATAAAAATGTAATGTTCGTTTGTGGGATTAACATAACTCAAAAACCACTGGACGAATTGACACGAAATTTGGACACAGTACACCTAACAGTCCAATGAGTGTCCATCACCCATAAACACACACACAAACACACACACACACACAAATACCCCAAAATACACCATATATACATATACACATACACTCACACACACATTCATACACACAAGTATATATATATGTGCACAAACACACACAAATATACACATATACACACATATGTTGTTGTTCATTCGTTCAGTCGTCTCCGACTCTTCGTGACCTCATGGACCAGCCCACGCCAGAGCTCCCTGTCGGCCGTTACCACCCCCAGCTCCCTCAAGGTCAGTCCAGTCACTTCAAGGATGCCATCCATCCATCTTGCCCTTGGTCGGCCCCTCTTCCTTTTGCCTTCCACTTTCCCCAGCATAATTGTCTTCTCTAGGCTTTCCTGTCTCCTCATGATGTGGCCAAAGTACTTCAACTTTGTCTCTAGTATCTTTCCCTCCAGTGAGCAGTCGGGCTTTATTTCCTGGAGGATGGACTGGTTGGATCTTCTCGCAGTCCAAGGCACTCTCAGAACTTTCCTCCAACACCACAGCTCAAAAGCATCGATCTTCCTTCGCTCAGCCTTCCCTAAGGTCCAGCTCTCACATCCGTAGGTTACTACAGGGAATACCATGGCTTTGACTAGGCGGATCTTTGTTGCCAGTCTAATGTCTCTACTCTTTACTATTTTATCGAGATTGTCCAATCTCGATAAAATACACACATATACATACATCTATACATATAAATATGAACACATACATATATACATATACACATACATATATACACACAAATATGCATATAGACAAGCACACACATATACACAATATGCATGTACACATACACACACACACGCAAACACAAATATAGACACACACAAAACACATATACACAGACTGGGCCACAGCAACACGTGGCAGGGATTGGCTAGTATTATTGAATAATGTGGCCAACCTCTCTTTCTCTCCTTCTTTCTCTCCTTCCTTCCCTCCCTCTTTCTTTCCTTCCTTCCTTCCCTTTTTTTCTTTCCTTCTCTCCTTCTTTCCTTCCTTCTCTTCCTTTTCCCTTCCTTCCCTCCTTTTCTTTCCCTTCCCCTTTCTTCCTTTTCTACCTATTCTTGGACTGCAACTCCCAGTAGTCCTCCAAATCAGTACCTACCTACCTATCTCCATCTAATCTGTCTATCTGGAGGATCGCTGGGAGTTGGAGTCCAGGAACAGGAAACTGGAAATCTGCAGGGATTGGGATGCTCTCAAAGAAATCCAAGAAGAAAGCCTGCATCTTGGGCTCAGTGCATTTGGATCATCCTCCTCTCCTAAAAGGCCTGGTGTAGGGGAGTTGGGAGTTGTAGTCCAGAAGAGAGTGTGCATATGGTATTGTGTGTTTTGTTTGCCAGGGGGAGTTGTTTTTACACATGTGCTGTATCATATTTTTGCATTTTTGGCTTTTTAGCTCTCTTCCGCTGTGTTTTTCAGTGTTTTTATGAATAATGGTCACTTGTTGGCCTGATAGGTGTATTATGTCCAATATTGGTGTCAATTCGTCCAGTGATTTTTGAGTTATGTTAATCCCACAAACTAACATTACATTTTTATTTATATAGATTTTTGAGCTGTGAGTGGCTGAATCTGTGGATGGAAACTCTGAGAATATAAAGGCTATATTAGGAAAAGGTTGAAAGAGAAATGGTGAGGGTTGCCTAAGTAAGAAGCCAGACCTTGAAACTGCTAGGCCATTCAATGCGAATCCGGGTGGCCAATTGCAACATTCACACCTACCTAGAATAGATAAGAGTTGTTTTTTTCTCCCACCCTGGACATTCCACAGATATATAAACCCCATTTTCCTAGTTTCCAACAGACCTCACAACCTCTGAGGATGCCTGCCATAGATGCAGGCGAAACATCAGGAGAGAATGCTACTGGAATACGGCCATACAGCCCAGAAAAATCACAACAACCCAGTGATTCCAGCCATCCACAATACATAGGTTGCCTCTAAGTTCATGCCACTCTATGGATTCACGCAACCTTCTCATTTTTTGCTCCAGAAAAATATGGGTGCATCTACATTGCAGGATTAATGCAGTTTGATGCCACTTTAATTGCCATGAGCTCCTGAGAGATGAAGCTTGGGTGGGAAAAGGAGAAGGGCCTTGTCAAACTACCATGGCAGTCAAAGTGGTGAACTGCATCAGTTTAAACCTGGCATGGGTAAGCTCAGGCCCTCCAGGTATTTTGGACTTCAACTCCCACAATTCCTAACAGCCTACCGGCTGTTAGGAATTGTGGGAGTTGAAGTCCAAAACACCTGGAGGGCCTGAGCTTACCCATGTCTAGTTGAGACTCAACCATGGGACAGTAAACAAACAGAGAAGCAGGAGTCAATATACAGGGCACTTTCTATATTCGAATCTTGAAATACGACCAGAAACATCATTCCAACTCAGTGAAGTCCAGGGACGTCGAAGGTTTTCGTGGCCGGAATCACTAGATTGTTGTGAGTTTTCCGGGATGTAAGGCTTTTTGATTCTGCAATTTTCTTCCAAGTCTACAGGTGGGAATGTTCTAGGACAGTGTTTCTCAACACTCCTAATGCTGCAACCCCTTAATACAGTTCCTCATGTTGTGGTGACCCCCAACCATAACATTATTTTTGTTGCTACTTTCTAACTGTAATTTTGCTACTGTTATGAATCGTAATGTAAATATCTGATATGCAGGATGTATTTTCATTCACTGGTCCAAATTTGGCACAAATACCCGATATGCCCAAATTTGAATACTGGTGGAGTTGGGGAAGGGATGGATTTGGTCATTTGGGAGTTGTAGTTGCTGGGATTTATAGTTCACCTACAATCAAAGAGCATTCTGAACTCCACCAATGATGGAATTGAACCAAACTTGGCACACAGAACTCCCATGACCAACAGAAAATACTGGAAGGGTTTGGTGGAAGGCATTGAGTTTGGGAATTGTAGTTCACCTACATCCAGAGAGTACCGTGAACTCAAACCATGATGGAACTGGATCAAACTTGGCACGGATACTTAATATGCTTGAATGTGAACACTGATGGAGTTTGGGGAAAATAAATCTTGACATTTGGGAGTTATAGTTGCTGAGATTTAAAGTTCACCTACAGTCAAAAAGCATTCTGAATTCCACCAGCGATGGAATTGAACCAAATTTGGCACACAGAACTCCCATGACCAACAGAAAATACTGGAAGGGTTGGTGGGTACAGACCTTGAGTTTGGGAGTTGTAGTTCACCTACATCCAGAGAGTACCGTGAACTCAAACCATGATGGATCTGGATGAAACTTGGCATGAATACTCAATATGCCCAAATGTGAACACTGATGGAGTTTGGAGAAAATAGACTTGACATTTGAGATTTGTAGTTGCTGGGATTTATAGTTCATCTACAATCAAAGAGCATTCTGAATTCCACTAACGATGGAATTGAACCAAACTTAGCACACAGAACTCCCACAACTAACAGAAAATACTGGAAGGGTTTGGTGGGCATTGACCTTGAGTTTGGGATTCTGAATCCCACCATAGAATCATTAAATCAAAGAATCAAAGAGTTGGAAGAGACCTCGTGGGCCATCCAGTCCAACCCCCTGCCAAGAAGCAGGAATATTGCATTCAAAGCACCCCTGACAGATGGCCATCCAGCCTCTGTTTAAAAGCTTCCAAAGAAGGAGCCTCCACCACACTCCGGGGCAGAGAGTTCCACTGCTGAACAGCTCTCACCAGTGATAGAATTGGCCCAAACTTCCCACACAGAACAATACTCATGACAAACAGAAAGTACTGTGTTTTCTGATGGTTTTTGACGACCCCTCTGACACCACCCTCTTGCGACCACCAAGGGGTCCCGACCCCTAGATTGAGAAACGCTGCGCAAGAGGATGCCTGCCATAGATGCAGGCAAAATGTCAGGAGAGAATGCTTCTGGATCAAGATGGAAAAACTCACAACAACCAAGTCCAGGGTTGCAGCTTACAAATAAATAAATACACACAGAGAACTACTTCGGGAATCCAGTCCCCCCCCCCCAAAAAAAAAACCTGGGCATATCTACACTGTAAACTGAATGTAGTTTGATACCACTTTACCTGCCAAGGCTCAATGTTATGGGAATCCTGCAAGTTGGTAGTTTGGGTAGGCAACAGCATCCTTAGGTAGAGAAGGCTAAAGGTTTTTCTCAATCTACAAACCCCATGATGTGATAGCATTGAGGCTGGATCTACATTGGAACTGAATTATATGCCCAGTCTAGATCCATCCTGTTAAAGTGGGGTCACACTGCATTCCTTCTGCTGTTCAGACGTACCAAAGGAAACGGCGCCCAAACTTTGCCGGGCAAACGGGACCTGCATCCCTCGACTCACCTGGAAGGAAGGAACCGGCGTCCAATTCGAAGTTCAACCAATGCTTGGCTTGGCTGGGATGGGAGAGATCCGAAGCGAGCAGCCGCTCTCAGCTCTCTCCAGCCCAAAGCAGAGAGACCCTGGATTCGCCTTCCCAAGGTGGGCGCGGCCAATGGCTTTCTCCTCCAAAGACCCCGCCCTTCCATGGCTTGATTGGCGGTTGCTATAGCGACCAGCATAAGCCTCTTTTGTCTGCCGAGGGGGGGGGGTGGGTTGAGACTTCGGTCGGGCCCCCGTATCCGCGGATACAAGGACTCAGTTATCCGCGGTTTCGAAAATATCCCCCCAAAAACATTAAATCATAAAACCACACTATGATTTTGTCATTTTATTTTATAACAATATGTTATTAACGATGTTTTTTACAAAATACAGCTTAAAAAAACCCAATTAAAATATAATAAAATAAAGGAAAATAATAAAAACAACCATAATAAGGATTTAATGACAGAACTGCAAAGACTCTGGCACAAGCCAGTCAAGGTGGACCCAGTGGTGATCGGCACACTGGGTGCAGTACCTAAAGACCTTGGTCTGCACTTAAAAACAATCAGTGATGACAAAATTTGCATCTGTCAGCTGCAAAAGGCCACCCTGCTTGGATCTGCATGCATTATTCGCCAATACATCATATAGTCCTAGACCAGGGGTCCTCAAACTAACCTGAAGACCTTGGTCTGCACTTAAAAACAATCGGTGATGACAAAATTACCATCTGTCAACTGCAAAAGGCCACCCTGCTTGGATCTGCATGCATTATTCGCCAATACATCATATAGTCCTAGACCAGGGGTCCTCAAACTATTATTATTATTATTATTATTATTAACTTTATTTGTACCCCGCTAGCATCTCCCGAAGGACTCGATGCGGCTTACAATGGCCAAGGCCTCAAAACACAACATAACAATACAAACTAAGGCCTGAGGGCCGGATATGGCCCTCCAAGGTCATCTACCCGGCCCTCGCTCAGGGTCAACCTAAGTCGGAAACGACTTGAAAGCACAAAACAGCAACAACAACAAAAATCATAGAATCCCAGAGTTGGAAGCGATCTCGTGGGCCATCCAGTCCAACCCCCTGCCAAGAAGCAGGACAATCACTTTCAAAGCACCCCCAACAGATGGCAATCCAGCTTCTGTTTAAAAGCCTTCATAGAAGGCACCCCACCACATCTTGGGGCAGAGAGTTCCACTGCTGAACAGCTCTCACAGTCACAAGTTCTTCCTAATGTTCAGGAGGAATCTCCTTTCCTGTCTCATCAATCCTATTTCATCAGCCAAAAGCAGGCCCACACTTCCCATTGCAATACTAATAAGTTTATATTTGTTAAAATTGTTCATTTTAATTACTGTATTGTTTTAAAGTGTTTTTTTGCACTACAAATAAGATATGTGCAGTGTGCATATGAATTCCCTCCAACAGTTTGAGGGACTGTGACCTGGCCCTCTGCTTTAAAAGTTTGAGGAACTCTGTCCTAGACACTTGGGAAGTGTGATCAAATATAAAAGCCAGCATAGTGATCTTATTTGCTGTGTACTAATCTTCTTATGTATCAAATAATAATAATAATATTCGCCGATATATCACACAGTCCTAGATACTTGGGAAGTGTCCGATGTATGATCCAATACAACAGCAAACAGAGTGATCTTGTTTGCTGTGCGCTCATCTTGTTGTGTTTTAAATAATAATAATAATAATAATAATAATAATAATAATAATAATAATAATAAATTTTGTGTTGTCGAAGGCTTTCATGGTCGGACTCACTGGGTTGCTGTGCATTTTCCAGGCTGTATGGCGATGTTCCAGAAGCATTCTCTCCTGACGTTACACCCACCTTTATAGCAGGCATCCTCAGAGGTTGTGACGACTGTTGGAAACTAGGCAAGCGAGGTATATATATATGTGTGTGTGTGTATATATGGGTTTATATATTCCCCAAGCAGGAAGCAGCCAGGTTTGGAAGCTGCAAGGCTGTTGGCAACTAGGTAAATGGGGTTTATATATCTGTAGACTGTCCAGAGTGGGAGAAAGAACTCTTGTCTGTTGGAGGCAAGTGTGAATGTTGCCTTGATTAGCATTGAATAGCCTTGCAGCTTCCAAGCCTGCCTGGAGATTATAGAAACCCAGATATATAAACCCCACTTGCCTAGTTTCCAACAGACCTCACAACCTCAAGGACGCTTTGGTTAGACCACATCTGGAATATTGTGTCCAATTCTGGGCACCACAATTCAAGAGAGATATTGACAAGCTGGAATGTGTCCAGAGGAGGGCGACTAAAATGATCAAGGGTCTGGAGAACAAGCCCTATGAGGAGCGGCTTAAAGAGTTGGGCATGTTTAGCCTGAAGAAGAGAAGGCTGAGAGGAGATATGATAGCCATGTATAAATATGTGAGAGGAAGCCACAGGGAGGAGGAGGGAGCAAGCTTGTTTTCTGCTTCCTTGGAGACTAGGACGCAGTGGAACAATGGCTTCAAACTACAAGAGAGGAGATTCCATCTGAACATGAGGAAGAACTTCCTGACTGTGAGAGCCGTTCAGCAGTGGAACTCTCTGCCTGGAGTGTGGTGGAGGCTCCTTCTTTGGAAGCTTTAAACAGAGGCTGGATGGCCATCTGTCAGGGGTGATTTGAATGCAATATTCCTGCTTCTTGGCAGGGGGTTGGACTGGATGGCCCATGAGGTCTCTTCCAACTCTTTGATTCTATGATTCTATGATGCCTGCCATAGATGTGGGCGAAATGTCACTCATTCATTCATATGTATGGATAGTGCACTTTTCACCAACGCCTTGGGTAATGAGGCCTTGTTTTATTTCACAGCAACCAGTCAAAAAGTGTTTCCCCCTCTGTTTTAAGACTTCTTCGTACATACACAAGTAGTCTTTGATTTGTTATTATGCAGCGCGTCCCATCCAGGTCCAACTCCCGGGTGATCATGCATGAATGATGTAAACAGCCGGAAACATATTTAATATATGCAGAGACTACAAAGGTCCACGTAGAAGGCTTTGCATCCATCCGCCTGTTAAAAAAAAGAAAGGCATGAATGACCCTTCTCAGATGGATAGACTATTATTAGCATTACTGAATGCATATTTATATCAGAGATTGTTTTGTAAGGTTTGTGATCAGCATCCACACCAGGCATGGGCGAACTTGTGCCCTCTGAGTGGTTTGGACTTCAACTCCCATCATACTCAATACGCCCAAATGTGAACACTGGTGGAGTTTGAGGAAAATAGACCTTGATATCTGGGAGTTGTAGTTACTGGGATTTATAGTTCCTCTACAATCAAAGAGCATTCTGAACTCCACCCACAATGGAATTGAACCAGTCTTGGCACACAGAACTCCCATGACCAACAGAAAATACTGGAAGGATTTGGTGGGCATTGACCTTGAGTTTTGGTGTTGTAGTTCACCTATGTCCAGAGAGCACTGTGGACTCAAATAATGATGGATCTGGACCAAACTTGACACGAATACTCAATATGCCCAAATGTGAACACTAGTGGAGTTTGGAGAAAATAGATTTGACATTTGAGAGTTGTAGTTGTTGGGATTTATAGTTCACCTGCAGTCAAAGAGCATTCTGAACCCCACCAACTATAGAATTGGCCCAAACTTCCCACACAGAACCCCCATGACCAACAGGAAATACTGTGTTTTCTGATGGCCTCTGACACCCCCTCACGAACCCCAAGTTGAGAAACAATGATAGAGATTTAGTCCTAGACCAGTACTGAAACCACTGTCTCTCACACATATGAATAAATGAAGCTCAAAATCCTCTCATCCCTAGCTGTTATCTTATTTCATCCTATCCTCACTGGATCTTTATTAAAAAATCAATTCTGCATTTTGAACATGTAACTGAAATTGTCTGGCAAGGCTAAAAATAAAAAAGCTGGTTATTTATTGATTTATTTATTACATAAGAGCTTTTAAAGCCTTGTGTCAAATACTACAACGTGAGATTGACGGGTTTTGTTTCTAATTAATCACAGAAGATGATGGGGATCAGAGGTCTTCGCTGTAGATTTTTTCCTGCTGTCCTTTAATATAGCGCTTTATAAATTGGCCCAGGCTTTACGTCTTTGCCTACTGGGTTTTAAATCAAAAGCTAACTTGGTGGAAGATGATTCAGGCTCTCTAGGATGTAAAACAATCTGAAGTTATTAGCTGTGATAAATGGAAGGGGGGCTATAAAGAGCTAGATGCTAGGGACATTAATAATTAAAGAAACATTACATTCACAATTAACAAAGGGTGCATCTACACTGTGGAATTAATGCAGTTTGATATCACTTTAATTGCCATGACTCAAATGATAGAATTGAGTAACAGCAAGTTAATCGCCAGCTGCAGTAAATCTTGCCAATCAAAAGGTTGACAGTTCGAAGCCCGGGTCAGGGTGAGCTCCTGGCCTTCAGCCCAGCTTCTACCCACCTAGCAGTTTTGAAAGCAGCAATGTGAGTAGATAAATAAGTACCGTTCTAGGGATGTACAGAGTACACATGTATTTCTCAAATCTTGCCATGGTTCAGTGATGATTCACTTGACAGAGCAACCCAACTTTGATAATAAGAGGCAGACGACTGGAAAAGATAAAGAATGTGCTCAAATCTCCCGAAACTTCTCTTATATAAATATGTTTCTTAGCAACTGTTTGCATTTCTATAGTGAGGGCTACGTAACTTGAGAGTGGGAAAATTTTCTTTCTATGTGTATTTCTCTCTCTTAGATCTGATGTGAAGTCAGGGCCGTGTCATGTAGTTCGATGAAATTGAAAAATTCAGTAGAAGCAACACAAGGAATGCATTCTCCTATTTGTACAAAATGAACTTGTAGAACATTTATTCTCAATATGTAGTCAAAGTTCCTCACTTAAACTGTTTTATCTTTCAGAAGGAGACAGCTTTGCAAAGGTCTTCCTACTTAGAGTACTCCAGTTTGACCCCACTTGAAATGCCATGACTCAAAGCTGTGATCCTAAGAGTTGTAGTTTGGTGAGGCACCAACATTATCTGACAGAGAAGGCTAAAGACTGTATTAAGATGACAGCGCTTATGATTCCATAGCACTAAGCCA